CTTCTTATCAGTTTGTGACAAATTCATCATGCGAATGGGGGCATGGATAAGCATTGCATTTGCCATTGGCAAGAATGCTTGCTTTATCACAAGCTCTGCAAACCGGTTGTAATTCTTCTGTGAAACTAGGATGTTTCAGCAGCAGATGTTGGTTGCCACAGTAACTCTCCATCTCTTTATACAATTACTGTTGAAGCTCTTGGTCACACGTTTTCTATCTTAGCCTTCCTCGGCTAACTTCCTCGGGATTGACTTTCATTTTGTGTCTGGGACAGAAATAAAGTCATGATCATGTCATTCAAGGTGATTGTAGGCTTGTCCATGACAATAAGATTTAGTGTTGCAAGCTACTGTTTTGGTACTGTTTAATCAGTGTTAGTGCATTTAGTGTGTTTGAGTCTTTACTTGTGTTTATGGCACATCAAAGTGTATTTTAACATGATGATTTGCAGACCCTGTGGGGATTCTGGGTTAAAATACATGTACCTATGCTTGTTGTAAAAGTTGGTTGGTTTGTTTGTTGTTTTACGCGGCACTCAACAATATTCCAGCTATATGACGGCTGTCTGTAAATAATTGAGTCTGGACCAGACAATCCAGTGATTGACATGATCATCGATCCATGCAATTGGGATCGATGACCTGCTTCAACCAAGTCAGCGAGCCTGATCCTGTTAGTCGCCTCTTACCACAAGCAGAGTTGCCTTTCACAGCAAGCATGGGTTGCTGAAGACCTATTCTACCCCGGATCTTCACGGGTCTGGTTGTAAGAGGCTGTAATTGGTTGGGTGGTCAGACTCAGTGACTTGGTTGATAGCATGTCATTGTACCCAGATGGCGTTAAATGTTGCTCATAATATCATACACTGGTTTGTTTGGTCCTGACTTGATTATGTACAGGCTACCGGCCTAAAGCTGGAATACTGCTGAGTGCGGCAATAAACAACAAGCACGATAATATGCTGTAGTTTGAGTGTTTGCACATCATGCACAGGGCTTGACATTCATAGAAAATAGACACTAGCAAATAAGTCTAGAACATTAGATAGAATCTACTAGCCAAGTTTGAAAGCAAAGCCTGACAGTTGTCAGATATATGATATGCTCTCATTTACAGTATATAATGTGGGGATATTATTAACAGAATACAATTTCTAAATAAATGAAAAGAAGTAACAAGTCAATAATATTTAATTAACGGCAACAGTTGGCACTCAAAACCAATAACCGACTGGCAGACTAGTTACTTCAGTTGTAATTTTAACCAATACATTTGCCAAAGTAATTTTTTGGTAGGTGCATAATCTCTAGATATTGCACCATTCAACTACATGTAGCAGATATTTAAGTTGGTGGCAGGGATCAAATTTCACAAGTATTGATCAAATTTGTCAGTGTTTTTGTGAATATATGTGAGCATGCAAAAAAGATTCGTGCACAGAAAGTTATCCGATATTGGCAGTTTCCATCACTTGGGTTGTAGGCTGGTAGGTCATCCTGGTAATGTAGAGACTGTGGCTCTTTTCCACTGATGGCTCCACCCACCACTGAGACAAAAGCACATGGCCTCTCAGCCCAACACAATCAATTACCTAGCATGGACCGAGCACTATCAATATCTGTGTATTAATCATCACAGTAGTGTTTTCTAGGAAGCTTGTGTTCAATGCAGCGGCCAGGCCTCTGTAAGTGAGAAAATCCTTCATGTTTATGACTAAGTAATGGGATTATATCTGATGCATGCATCACTGTTGGGCTTACTGTACCAATTGGGCTCTGTTCCACAAAGTTAGCTAATATCTAATTTTCAGCTTCAAAAATATATTTAACTATTTATTTTGACTGACTCAAGGTAATTGATAAGCAAAAATCTGTAAGCCATTTAAAAAACTATGTATTGCGTCTGTCAGTTTTCTATCCATCAGGGGGGCGGTCGGGTAGCCTAGTGGTTAAAGCGTTCGCTCGTCATGCTGAAGACCCAGGTTCCATCCCCGACATGGGTACAATGTGCGAAGCCCATTTCTGGTGTCCCCCGCCGTGATATTGCTGGAATATTGCTAAAAGCGGCGTAAAACCATACTCACTCACTCACTCACTCACTCACTCACTCTAACCATCAGGTATTTTTCTAGTAAAAAATAGCCCATATTTACTTGTTCAATATTCCGAGATATCGAAAAATAAGAGAAAGTAATATTTTGTCTGGTTTGAATTTAGAAAACTCTACTGACTATAAACATGATCAATTTAAGTTGTATAACAAACAAACAAAACACAAAGTTGTATATATTCATATTTACACACCAACTTCTGGAATGACAATCAAACAGTTAAACAAGACAATGTAAAAGGTACATTTTTATTCAAACACAAATTCCACATTGTTTTCTATTTAACTTTTGTAAACTTTTGGACAAACCTAACCATGTTAATTGTTAAACTAGTAAACAGATCAGTCTGCCTGGATAGGGTTTAAGATAAAATCCCAAAGTATTATTATATAAAGTATCCATTTACGCCTGATGAAATCTTATCTACCTAGTATAACAATATTAAGGCTTGGAAGTCCAACTCTATCAGTATCACAAACCTACATGTATAAGTGCAATAGCACTCTTGTTGTCCACCTGCCGAGTGTATACAGGAGACAAAGGTCAGTAAGGTCAAAGGTTGTGTGAACCATAGTTTTGTAGGCTAGTCCAAAGTTCAGGAAATGTCTCTTTATATTCATCAGCATGTTGAATGTTTGACTAAGCTATTTGTTTGATTCACAAATCTTTCTGGAATTTCCCCCAATATTTTAGTTGTCAAGGCTGAGAATCACTGGTAGGTTGCATACTGTGTTATAACCTTATCATGCTTATATATATATGTTATAACACTTGCTGGAAAAATATTTATTTAAATGATTTATGTATTCAGGTATGATTTATGAAAAAGAAAATTTTCAAACATGCTAAGACCATGTGACATGCACAATACCGTATTCGGCATAATAAGTGCCTCGCTCTAATAAGCACCCACAGCGATATTTGCTAATACATTAGCTAGTGAACAATCCAAATTAGCACCCCTTCTGAATGATCAATGTACACAAGACTTTTTACGCACTTGTGTGCTATATGAACCCTTAATTATGGCCAATTAAATTCTGGACAAATATATCTGTCGTATATAAACATTTCAGGCTGTCAGCATAAACCACAAAATTTATCTTTCAGCTGTTTGTTTTTTCCACCAAAAATAATATTCTAATAAGAGCCCCCTATTCCTAATTTTGAGAGCGCCCTGGGCGCTTATTACATCAAATACGGTATATTGTTTTACAAAACTATTAAAGAAACATTGTACCAAAAACATTGTATTGGTCAATATGGTCAAATTAAAACTTATACAAAACAACCTTTGCTACAATTAGTAAATCATTCAATTTAACCCAAATTTAAAAAAAATGTGAAGGATTAACACTGTTTAGAATTATTATTTTTTAACAAGCTTGTCAAGGCACCATATGTATACATTAAGTTTGATGGATGTGATTCCCACGAAGTATCATCTTCCCAAGGCAAGTGAGTTAACTGACAATCGAAGCCCAGTTTCCACCCTTGCCAAGCTAGGCTGGAATTATGGAGTTATATTTTGGTTGGACTAACGAGTCTATGCATAGTCCAATCAAAATGACATAATGAAATCGACATTCAGTGTGTAAACTGCCGTGCAGATTTCGGTTGATTGCAGGATTTGCAAAGCATGTATACCATTAACTGAGCATCAACAAATATTTTTCGAATCTTTTCATGTTTGTATTCAAGGTGCTTACATGATTTGATGCATTTCGCGAATCATTGATCAGATAGTCTTGACTGGGTGCTGCTGTTTTGTTTGCAAAAGAAGTGATATGAGAGGTGGAATCTGATTGGTCAATAGGAGGGACATAGAAGAGACATAACTTGTAATAGCCACTGGAATTTATAGTTCTCTACCATGTCTACTGCATGTACAGTTCGTAAAGATAGGTGCCTACAAAGTATGTCATGTACACTCTACCCATTTTGTCAAATTGATATGATCACCTGACAAAACAACTGGATTATATCATAATATATTATAAGACCCGTGAAGATCCAGAATAGAATAGGTCTTCAGCAACCCATGCTTGCCCGTAAAAGGCAACTATGCTTGTCATAAGAGGCGACTAACGGGATCGGGTGGTCAGGCTCGCTGACTTGGTTGATGCTTGTTATCGTATACCAATGTTGTGGATCGATGCTCATGATGTCAATCACTGGATTGTCCGGTCCAGACTCGATTTTTACAGACCGCCGTCATATAGCTGGAATATTGCTGAGTGCGGCATTAAACAACAAAAAAACAAAACAAAACATAATAATTCAGAAAATATTTCTGGGCAAGAACAAATTCCAGAAAATCAAAAGATAGTCATTTTTTTAATTCAGTTTTTATTCAAGGTACAAAGTCATGTTTACGACATTGAAAAAGTGCACTGATCACATTGTTAATCTGAACCCTTTCAATATATATATTATTATTAACCCTGCTTTCTGGTCTTTTGTTCAATTGCAATGCTTACATAATATATACATAGGAACATTACTCTGGAATAATGATTAGTTGGTCCGTTGGCCCACAATCCACTGTCCCTTTGGTGTGCCATAATCCTATGATCATGGGTTCTAATCCCTCATTTGCCCTGATTATGGAGATTGGTTTGTTGGCACCATGCCCATTCTTGTTGGTTCCACCAAAGCAGTAAATGTCCAAGACATGTGCTCACTTCAGGCTTTCCTCTCACATTAAAACGACATATCGTGAACTGAAATACTTTTGAAATTGGCATGAAAGCGCAACTAACATTTTAATATGGAAAATTCTTTATCTAGGCAGTTTCACATGTTTAGCTATGATTGGGAATAAATGATTTAGATGTGGTCGTTATGCATTATACACTTATAAAGTATTGAATGGTTGTCCTATTGCAGTGTGATGACGGACGTAGTCAACTGGTCCTGTGAGGACGTGGAACAATGGCTGGAGGCAAACAACTTCACACGCTACAGACAACTGTTGTGCGAAGAGCACAAGATCGATGGATTGGCCCTGTTGTCTCTCACAGAAGACGACCTGAGACGGCCTCCCCTCAACATCCCAGTACTTGGTGATGTCAAACGACTCGTCATCAAGATCAACATTCTACATCAGGAAAATCAGGCCGAGCTCCGCAGCTTTGCACATCTTAATGGCTCAGTTGGTGATAACCGTACCAACATCTACAGTCCTCCTCGTCTCAACATCAGCAACAGCAGTGACTGGGAATATGCCCAGAGTGCCATGGGGAGCCCCAGCCTTCGAGGGAGGTGCTCCCAGAGTCTTGATCCCGAGATTTGGAAGACTGTCCTGAGTTTTGTGTATGTGTTCGCGGTGACCCTATTGACAGCACTTGTGATGGTGGTTGTCCATGACAGAGTCCCCGACATGCAGAAGTTTCCACCATTACCAGACTTCTTCTTGGATAATATGCCCTATGTGTCATGGGCGTTTGAAGCCTGCGAGTTGGTTGGGTTAACTCTTTCTTTGATGTGGTGCGCAATCCTGTTCTTCCACAAACATAGGTAGGTTTTATACAAGGAAGAATACATTATCTGTCTTTGAGTCTTGTTTATGAGACATTTAAGTCAAGAACTTGTGTGCTTCAGATTGCAAGGGGATCTTTGTCATTGAATATTTTGACTTCTCTGAAAAATACCAAATGACCCTCCATTTCTAAACAGTATGCTCCCAGACATGATTTCTGGGTTAAATGTGAAGTACGCAACAACTTATGCAGGTTGTACGAGGCAACTAGAGGATTGGATGGTCAGTTTCAGGGAATTACTTGATTGAATGTCATCACACCCTAACAATATTGGGACAATGGTCCTAATGTCAATCACTGGTCATCTTCCTGAGGCAAGGGAGTTAACTGACTATAAAAGTCCAGTTTCCACCTTTGCCGAACTAGGTTGGAGTTAAAGTTTGCTGGAAATACATCAGTGAATGGTGTTAAGCAGCAATCAAATCTAAACAATTTGTATGCGAGTCCTTTGACCTATTGTCCGAAACCATTTTTAAACATGAGTCACTTGTCAAGATCTGTCTGAAGGTTGATGATGGAGTAGTCAATTGATGTTGTTATTTCTCTGTTTCTACAAGGTTCATCTTGATGAGGAGGATGTTTTCATTGGCGGGCACTATCTTCCTGCTGCGATGTATAACAATGTTCATCACCTCGCTGTCTGTACCCGGAGCACACCTTCAGTGTAGTGGCAAGGTAGGCTCATGACGTTCATGCAGGGATTTACATTATATAAATAATTACTCATGACGTGGTCAATATGCCCAAACAAGGACCCAATGACCCGACCCCTGAGGTGGTCTGACCAGACCGAGGCTGTAGCCCGGTCAGAGAACCAAAGGGGTAGGATCCTTGGGTCCTTGTTTTTGCTTTTTTTATCTCATCAAGAGTAATCATTTGTTTTGTTGTACTGAAGTTCACTTTAAAGTTTATGAATCCTCAAACTGTTTCATAACACAGTAATTAAGCTGCGAACTGTAAAATGTTTGTACCAGACGCCATTTTGTTTTCTAGCAGACGTGTCAACATGGTCAATATTCATCACGTGACAGGTCAACACTGATCATGTGATGAGTCAATATTCGATGTCAGTGTCAGTCACATGATGTTGGGGTCTACATGGAAATATATTGTTTCGTCACGTGGTACAGGTTAACCAATGGAATTGCAAGATTCTTAATAGAGGTATAACAATATGGGTTGTTGACCTATCTCAAGGGGTGTATAAGGGATGAAGGTAACACAGAGAGGCTTCTGTCAGAGTATAAGATCTGAGTTTAATGAGACTGATCTATCCTGTCAACCAGCAGTATTAAGATTAATACTTGATATAATAATTGGGATCCGTGGGAAACCACTTTGAAGTACTTGACATCTACCTGACCCGAACAGATCCTGGGTATAACAGGTCTTTAGCAACCAATGCTTGCCATCAAAGGCGACTATGCTTGTCGTATGAGGCGACTAACAGGATCGGGTGGTCAGGCTTGCTTTGGTTGATGCTTATCGTCGTATTCCAATTGGGTGTATTGGTGCTCATGATGTCAATCACTGTGTCTGGTCCAGACTCGATTATTTGCAGAACGCCGTCTTATAGATGGGATATTGCTGAGTGCTGCGTTAAACAACAAACCAACAAATTATATCTACCATGACCGTGATGACTACAGGCTGGCAATACATCACTTGTCTTTGAATGATGTCACAGCAGTGTGATATCACTCGTATCATTCACTGGTTTATCTGTCAAATTACAGGCTGCTATGATATATGGAATATTGATGACTGCGTCATATGTATAAACAAACAAACAAGAACAGCTCTAAAAAGTTGGGTTCTCCCTCTACCACCAGTTTGTTTCTTACTCTCAGACTTACGGCAGCTTTTGGACGAAGTTGGAGAGAGCTTTTGAGATCTGGAAAGGATGTGGTATGACCCTGCAGGGAGTCCGGACCTGCGGAGACTATATGTTCAGTGGACACACGGCAATCATCACTCTCCTTAACTTTTTCATCACGGAATGTGAGTGTGTACTTAGAGCCATATTAATTATCTTAAGCAGTTGACCATTTGCAAGGTTATTCAAGTCCTTCTTAGCAGCCAAACTAACCTGGCCTCCATATCAGAGTCCCCTGATCTATAGGGGGCAAAGAATGTCAATAATGTATGTAGTGAAATGCTTCACTTCGTGTGTACCAGCGGCTCTTATTTGACTTTTCTTCTGTCATTATTCCTGTCTTCTTTATCAAATAAGGTTCAAGTTGAAAAAAAAGGATTGTGAAAATAATTTTGGACGCAAACAAAACATATAAGAACCAGAATACACAACGGAATACAAGAGTTTTAAGCGATATTGTTTACATGTCACTATATGACCTTGCTCTTGAGACCTAATTTAGAAGTATGGTTGCGGTCACTGTGAGTTATTTGTGCTTACTGCTGACATTATTGAGATGGAATTGGAAGTTAATGTGCTTTCCCAAAATAGTAGCATTGTTTAGCACATGTAGCCCCTATAATGGAGTGTAGTATAGCCTACCATGGAACATTTAGTTACTGCTACTGGTTGAGACTGGTTCTAACCTGAGTTAGGCAGATCAACGGCCACTGCTGACTTGTGCTTTGCACTTTACTGGGGTTGTTTGAAAGGCACTGGCCTTAAAAAATGTTCTGCGGCCATCAACAGATATATAGATACTGAGTCCGTGGTGCCTTGTGTACCAATGAAATAACTCTGTCTCTGTGTTTGCTCTTACTGACGGGGATGGTCATCTTCCCGAGGCAAGGGAGTTAACTGACTCAAAGTTTCCACCCTTGCCGAACAGTGGCTATTACCAGTTATGTCCCTTCTATGACCCCCCCTATTGATCAATCAGATTCCACCTCTCATATCACTTGCATTTGTTTCAAACAAAATGGTGGTGCCCAGTCAAGACAATCTGATCGATGATCAAGATATATGTTGTTATAAAATGTGTCTTACTTCACAAAGTGCAGAAAAGTTATGTGAGCACCTTGATTATAAAAACTGAAAAGATTTGCAAAATATCCGTTGACACCATTTGACAGTACAAGTCTTTTGCAAATCCTGCAGCTGAATGAAATCTGCCTGTTGAAATCCATGTTCTTTACAAACCGGTTGTTGACTTCATTGTGCGATTTTGATTAGACTATGCATAGACTTGTTAGTCCAGCCAAGATGTAACTCCATAATTGCAGGCTAGTTTGGCAAGGGTGGAAACGGGACTATACAGTAAGTTAACTCCCTTGCCTCGGGAAGATGGGGTTGGTTCACAAGACAAAAAATTGCTGATTTGCAGCACCTTTGATCTCACCTCCACACCTTGATAATATTCTCATTAAAATGCAAATCGCTGATATTATATTTCCATCTGAAATGAAAATTCAGTATTCATTGAACATGGTTGGATATGCATCTCATCCCAAAAGTGCACTTCTCAGTGCAGATATTTGTACAAATCCATTGTTTAATTACTTGGTTCCCAAATTTTTCCAAACCTAAAGGCTTGGTTGGTGTTGAAATAGAAATATAAATTTTATTTTTTTTAAATGTGAATACCAAAAGCAATTTTCAGGTGAAAAGAAAGAAAAAGAGAGTTCTTTCCCCAAAGTCAACATGATTGAGATATAATTTCGCATTCAAAATTGTCCTATGTTGAAGTTTATTTCATTATTGAAGTAACAAATTCAGCAAGGAAATTTAATTATGTTTGATCCATAAAGCAACTTGTTAAAAAAACTGAATGTTAGCATGGTTAGTTTGGCTGCAGTATAGTATGACTGACATGTATTCAAGAGTATCTCTATGTCGACATAAGGGGCGGTCGGGTAGCCTGGTGGTTAAAGCGTTCGCTCGTCACGCCGAAGACCCGGGTTCGATTCCCGACATGGGTACAATGTGTGAAGCCCATTTCTGGTGTCCCTCGCCGTGATATTGCTTGAATATTGCGAAAAGCGGCGTAAAACCATACTCACTCACTCACTCACTATGTCGACATGTTTTGTGCAGGTATGTAAACAGGTTAATGTGAGCAAACAAGCAGCAAATAACGTATGCTGAGCCATCACCATGCCATTGAATGTGAGAGCTTTACAAATGGTGAACACATGTTGGCAGAAGGTAATGCTGGAGGAGTGCACTCCCTTTGCCCTTTATGATCCCATGGCAACAGCTGTGGAGGATGATTCATTGAATTTCAGACTATAGTTCATATGTCACTCCCTGTGTGTTGTGGTAGTCAGAGGAAATAGAAACAGGTGCACGATGGCTTGTGTTGCCCGAAGTCTTTGTCATCTGTTTTCATTAATTTCATTCAATTGAAAATAAAATCTTTCAGTAGAGCATTTGGAGTAGGTTGAGTGTCTCTGTATGTGAAATGTATTGCATAAGGGATCAGAATGATTATTAGTACTTGCACTTATGAATTTGAAGGCCCAATGTATGTTCTCTGCAGATGATAGATCTATACAATGTGTACATTGACATGAAGCAATTTGTTCTAATTTTCTAATGTTCCAGTGATTACATAATTCGCTGGAAGTAGGCTCCTGTAGGCACCTATCAGAGCATATTATATACTTCTTAAAAGAAGTTAAGGACTAATTTATTTCATATTACTATAGTTAATCTGCCTTCCAGATGTTTTTTACAAATATCAAACTACCCGTGAAGATCCGGGGTAGAATACATCTTCAGCAACCCATGCTTGCCGTATAAGCCAAATATGCTTGTTTTAGAGGTGACTAACGGGATCAGATTGTCAGGCTCGCTGACTTGGTTGATGCATGTCATCGTATCCCAATTGCATGGATCGATGCTCATGATGTTGTCTGGTCCAGACTCAATTATTAACAAACCGCCGTCATATAGCTGGAATATTGCTGAGTGTGGCATTAAACAAACAAACGTGAAAAAAACAATCTAGCACAAATGTTAAAGATTCAAATATTTCAAAAATCTGAATGAAACCCTTACCAACAGAACCACCTTCAATACTCCACAGTCTTGTACTGATGCTGTTCCTCCACACTTGCTAATGTAGACTTGCTACCTGTAATCATTTTCAGGTAATACATATGCAATGACTCCAGGAGAAAATTATTTGCAAAGTAATTATTCACTGGTCGTGAAATTATAGGTTAGAGATGTTAGAGATGGATCATTATTATTTTACAGATATGTAGACTTGCTACCTGTAATCATTTTCAGGTAATACATATGCAATGACTCCAGGAGAAAATTATTTGCAAAGTAATTATTCACTGGTCGTGAAATTATAGGTTAGAGATGTTAGAGATGGATCATTATTATTTTACAGATATGTAGACTTGCTACCTGTAATCATTTTCAGGTAATACATATGCAATGACTCCAGGAGAAAATTATTTGCAAAGTAATTATTCACTGGTCGTGAAATTATAGGTTAGAGATGTTAGAGATGGATCATTATTATTTTACAGATGTGGGCAGAATCAGAAAGTTATCAAAATAAATATTTTGGCCTGAGGTCTATTTGAACATGATTAAGGTTGTCAGATATATATACAACATATCAGGAAGAGTCTTTTTACTGTTGATGTGTTTAACATGGTAAAAAAGTTGTCATATTTTGAGTAATTGTCATGATATTATTGTATTGTATTTGTGTAATCAATTTTATTTTAATATTATCGACTTCTGTCCCTTTGCACTAGATCACCCTCATCATTTTTATTGTGGTCTTTAGTTTGGTTTACATATTAGTGTCATAATGACTCATAACACAAGTAGACCCATGAAGATTCAGATTAGAATTGGTCTTCAGCAACCCATGATTGCCGTAAGAGGCAACTATGCATGTCGTAAGAGACGACTAGCGGGATCGGGTGGTCAGGCTTGCTGATTTGGTTGATGCATGTTATCGTATCCCAATTGCATGGATCGATGCTCATGATGTCAGTCACTGGATTGTCTGGTCCAGATAGCTGGAATATTGCTGAGTGCAGGGTTAAACAACAAACTAATAAAAAAACATACAACAAGTAAGGGGCAATTATGGAAGAGTCAGTTTTAACATACATTTTGTGATCTTCAAGGTCACAAATAGGATTTGAAAAAGTTTGCTAGAAAAGGACATTTGTGTTTTGAGAGGTTACCTTTTTAGATTAACTGCCTGAGGGTTCGTGTTAATTTATGATATTGGGGCATGTCCTATAGAAGTGTTTGACTCTCCACCAAATGTATCCTTCTTTGCGTCGCGTCCGGCGGATTTTTACAAAAACTGGTTTCTTTTCTTTGAGACACATGACCTACTGTAGAGATCGGTGACCTACTGGAGCAATGTGTAGAGATCGTCCTAACAAGCAGTTATGGTACTGTATTCTAAATATGCTCTTTGTTTCCATATTTTAATAACACTTTTTTAATTTTAAAGAAAATGAAATAAGGAAGTCATGTCCAGAAGAAGTTTCAAGTTTCTCGGAACTATGTAGACATGTTGGATAAGCTTGATGGCTGGAAATAGGCCTGCAACTCTTCCAACTTACTGTTAGTGTGTGAACATGGATGTGTCACTGTGAATGAAGAACGCCCTAACCAACAGTAGACATCTGAATTTAGTAGGGAGTTTGTGCTGAAATCTGATTGGTTAAGAAAATTTAAATGGGATTAAAACCCTTTGAAATTCGGGGCTATGAACTGCATTCGAATTCTTTTCCTGACTGTCCTGTTGTCATGGAAGCATATGACATCTTCCATTGTAACATGGTGTCATATTGCAGACAGAGTATTTCTCGCAGCTTTTTGAGAACGCTTAGGTAAGGGGCGCAATTGAAAATGTGACTTTTAACGAGTCACAGTATGGCATTTATGATATATGTATCCATTCTCTGGCAACTAAGGCTTGTTTCAAGGTGTCAATAGCGATAATCTGACTGTGGTTGCTGTAAATCCCTCACACGCGATTTCACCAAAATTAATTTAAACAATATTGAATGAAATTTTGAATTAAATAAATATATCACAAAAATACGTCCAGATATACATTGAACACGATTTTATGACCAGGTAGTATAATAATGGGATTAAATTACGAATTTCAGTTCGGGTTTGTTGACTGGTATTTCTGGTGTTACGTGCTTGCGGTGATCAGCTGAAGAAATTTTTTGAGATTAGGGAAAAACATTTAGTCAGTGTTAAACTTGAGTTTATTAATAATGTAAGTAAATTTTGGGAGCCATGCGTTACCGCACACTATAACCAAGTTTGTGCTATATTGAAGGGCGCAATAGCGAGGAAACACCGTATTTACTATGTTTATCTCCTGATCGTCATCAGAACAGTCTGCAACTTAGCCACCTGTAATATGCCGAGTTAGCATATCTAGTAAATGTCTTTTGGTCTCGTCATGTCATTAAGATAATGGTGCATACATTAGGACAAACAATCTGCTGTAAAAGTCCCTGAGACAGATTGGGCAGTCTCATACAAAGGTTTTGGGCACATATATTAATTAGTTTATTGATATGTTGACAGCATGTCCATCTGTGGCGAGTTTTGAAGTGGAACTATTTTTCAGTAATCTGTTGCCATGGTAATCTGCTTCAGATACACCAAACTTGTTTTTGTGTGATTTTATGTTCTTTTCTTCATGTGAATTAAGAATATGTGAAATTCTAAGCAATTAGTTGAATAAGCCACTTGGAACTGTTTCAGACATTACTAAAGGCCTGTCTTGCACACATTGTGTTATGGCCTCATCTAGATCAGTAGATGCAGGTGATTAAAATGCATGTTTTTTGTGCTGTTTTATGAGAAGACGATTAATTCAGAAATAGAAAAAATACTGTATTTGCCGCAATACTGTCGTATTTACTGTAATAAGCACCATCACAATTTGACATGGTCTAAAATACTATTAATAGTTAATAGGCAATTACATACCTCTTCTATGAAGAAAGAAAACTTGCAATAGACACAAGAAAGTACTGAGTGTCATATAAATGTTTGGTTTTATGAGGGAGCGCTTACAAAGATTACTTACATATTGGTCTAGAAGCTGGTCATGGTGCACTCATTAAAGCAGAGCTCTTATTAGGGCAAATACGGTAATTGTAATGTGGGGTTGTCAAGAGAATGTAGTCATTTTAACTCTCAATTTAAGGAGATGCTCTTGTAGCCTCATCTTGAAACTATGGAGCTAAATACATGTAATCTTAATATGAACCTGTTTGTTTCAGATACACCCCAACAGAAGGCCTACCTTCTTCACATGATGTCATGGGTGCTGAATGTCTTCGGCATATTCTTCATCTTGGCCGCCCACGAGCACTACTCCATTGACGTGTTCATCTCCTTCTACCTCAGCTCCCGGCTGTTCATGTACTACCACACCCTCGCCAACAACCGTTCACTCATGCAGCAGGACGCAGAGCGCACCCGAGTTTGGTTCCCCATGTTTTCATTCTTCGAGTCCAAGTGCGACGGGGTGGTGCCCAACCAGTTCGAGTGGCCATTACCTAGCCCCTACACGATCTTTCAATATTTTCAGAACAAACTGAAAGTGTCCTGATACTTTTCTCAAACATTGCTAGATGTTTACAAGATTGTTCCTTGTATCAAACAAGAGGACGACATGCATAGTATATGAAGATACATGATTTCATATATATATGTTTTCAGGTTTTGTTGGAAATGATAAGATTTAAAAACTTTGTCCAACAAAAGAATACTGTGACATTATGTAGATAACATTAGGTTGGATTTCAGGAGAGTTTTTTATTTATATTTAAGTTTAACGCACAACATGTACAAGAAGACATATTCAGATAGTCTGAACAATTTTTTATGGGAATTTGTACATATTTTTCCAAGCCATGACATGTTAAACTTGTTGAAGAAATACCAATTTCAAGACAGTTTCATGCTAAGTTCATTCCATGTCACAATTTGACAGTGCTAAGTACTTCTAATAAGTTAACAACAGTTGGTCGATTGCTTTATATATTCCTTCAGTTATAAAACAATATCAAAATGGCTTGAAAAATCATTCCCACGGAATAAGATGGTTTGCAATAACATGTACGATATTAAATGTAATGATACACGGACCATACCATGACACAGGCATGGCAACACGCCTGTCATGCTACAATGCACCATCTTTGATAAATGCACCAATGTACTTAGTATTAAAACCTCGGTCTCTAAATGATCATTGAACTCAGATGGTTCTTCAAACCCAAATGTTGTCAGAGATTGTCCTGCAGTGGGACATAGTTCAAATGAACATTTCTGGAGGTTGAAGAACAGACCCTTGTACATGTTGTACAGACTGTACAGGGAAATCATGTCAACTCAAACACCACTAACTTGACATTGAATTTAAGATTATATATCTTCATGATCCCAGTGGAATCGTCATCTGCTGCTCTAATGTGGGCAGTGAGGTCTGATATGGACACCATTGTCTAATATTGGTACTTTGGTGTGATATGGACACTATGGTCTAATATGGATACTGTGGACACTATGGTCTAATATGGGTACTATGGTGTGATATGGACACTGGTCTAATATCGACACTATGGTCTAATATGGACACGATGGTCTAATATGGGTACTATGGTGTGTGATATGGAGACATGTCTAATATGGACACTATGGTTTAATATGGACACTATGGTCTGATATGGACTTTATGGTCTAATATGGGTACTATGGTCTAATATGGACACTATGGTCTAATATGGCCATGATGGTCTGATATGAGTACTATTGTGTAATATGGACACTATGGTCCGATATGGACACTATTGTCTAATATGGACACTATGGTCTGATATGAGTATTATGGTGTGATACTGACACTATGGTCTGATATGGAGACTTATGTCTAATATGGACACTATGGTCTAATATGGACACTATGGTCTGATAGGAGTATTATGGTGTGATACTGACACTATGGTCTGATATGGAGACTTATGTCTAATATGGACACTATGGTCTAATATGGACACTATGGTCTAATATGGACACTATGGTCTGATAGGAGTATTAAGGTGTGATATGGACACTATGGTCTGATATGGACACTACATTCTTGTGTGAGTACTTTGGTCTAATAGTGTCTCTACAGTCGAATATGGACACACTGGTTTGATGTAAATACCATGGTTTAATGTGGACATTGTGGTCTAATTTGAGTACTCAAACTACAGATAACATGACATTCATGTTACAATCCCAAGGTATTTGAGTCAACAATGTTCCAGAGCTGTTGTTAAATAATATGAGGCTTGTAGCTTTCTTTCATTCATAACTTCCAATGCTGATCATGCTGATGTGTATGGGTGTACCTGTATGCATTTTGAAAATTGATAGGTGAAACTGAGAATTTAAGCAAGGCCATATCATGGAATGCTTTGTCACCCAAAATATTGTTTTATTGCATTTAGGACAAATAGCAATCTCTACACACACTGCCAGAAGTTATTGCTAATAAATGGGGCCAAATCTGGCACAATGTCATGGCAAAGTGAAGTTGTCTTCTACCTTGGAATGACATTAACCTTGTGAGTGGTAGTGCTTGCATACTTAATAATCCAGGGTATTCTGTTTCCATTCAGTTACCGTATTTAACGTAATATGCGCCCCACTCTTTAAGCGCCCATGGCATTATTTGCTAATATATTGGCTAGTGAACAATCCCAATTAGCACCCCATCCTATTGATCAATATACACAAGACTTATTTATTTGTGTATAATACGCACTCGTGTGTTATATGCATCCTTAATTATGCGCAATTAAATTCTCGAAAAATATATCTGTCGTGTATAATACGCACAGACTTTTCTTTTGTATCATTTCAAGCTGTCAGCATTAACCATGAAATTTTCGATCTTTCAACTCTGTTGGGTTTTTTTCACCAACAGTTTATTCTAATAAGTACCCCCTAGTTCTAATTTTGAGAGCGCCCTGGGTACTTATTACGTTGAATACGGGAGGACAAATATCTGACCCCAGTCACCACCATAGGTTCATTTACAGCCTATTTACCATCCAATCAAATTACATGCCTGAGCGAAGTAAGTGATGAGAGAGATTCCGAAACGAACCGGGGGCACGGGTGGCCCAGTCGTCTAAGGCGCCGCGATTCGCTGTGCAGAGTTGCGTCCCTTGGGCATGCCAGAAACCTTTGATTGTGGGTTCGAATCCCAGTTCGCCCCGATTATGTTTCCAGGTTTGTCAGCACCATAGCCGTGCTCGTGGGTTTCACCGAAGTGGTAAACGCCTAAGACCTGCATCACTTCAGGCTTTCCTCCCACATTAAGCTGACACGCCGTGATATAACTGGAATACTGTTAAAAGCGGCGTTAAACCCAGCTCACTCACTCACTCACTCCAAAACAAACCTTTGGTGACATTGGGATCAGACTATTATAACAGTTGAGAAAAAGGACATATTCTAGGGCATGGGTTGTTTAAATCATCATTTCTATTGCCAAAACAAAATCATATGAAGCAGACATTGTATTAAGATATGAGTTCAGTGTGTGCCCAGTTGTATTTGAAAAAAGTTATTAGTTCTCCTCATCACTTTTGTTTTCAGTGAATTTTCTTTGAAAAAGTCGAACCTCTTTCCTCACTTTTGAGAAAAAGGTTCCTGAAAAACGTTTTAATGCAGCCTAATGGACTGGATAATGGAAATTGTAGTCTGTGTTACTGCTGGATATGTGATATCATTGCTTTGTTTCATCATGCTTGCCTTCCTTGTACAGATTTCTATTTTGTATACTTGTCATTGTATTTATGCACTTTGCCTTTATGAACAAAAGTTGGAATGGTTTTTCTGAACGTGTATGCATTATTTGTCATGTGTTTTGTCCATAAACATGATGGATGTTAATTAGTTTGACATATAAATGTTGTACATATAAGAACTGTGTAACATTATAAGCTTATCGTGATTGAAGAATATCCCCAGAGTCAAAGCCATGTTGGATTATGAAATGCAGGTTTGGGGCTGGTGCAAGACAGAGGAACGTTTCTTCAAGTATTATTCATATCCATATGCACTACTCAAAAGAAGTTGAAGAACACATTATTTTTTCATGTTACTGTAGTTAGTCTGTCATGACATGACAGATTAACCTTATTCATATGAAAATATTGAGTGTTCTTTAACTTTTTTTTGATTAATATATATACTACTGTCAGTAAATAAGGGAATGGCTCACTATTGTAACTGTAATTCAGATGATGGTCTGTTATGAGTGTGTTCATTATGTTTATTGAAACAAGCTTGACATTTGTATGCAGTGAAGAAATAATGAATTGTTTCTGTAGGAGTGAGTAAGTTTGGTGTAACGCCGCTTTTAACAGTATTCCAGCTATATTGCGGTGTGTCTGCTTAATGTAGGAGGAAAACCCGAAGTGATGCAGGTCTCAGACGTTTACCATTTTGGTGAAACCATTGAGCACGGGTATGGTGCTGACAAACCTAGAAACATAACCTGGACGAACCGTGATTTGAACCCACAATCATAGGTTTCTGGCGTGCCCAAGGGACGCAACTCTGCACAGCGAATCGCAGTGAAGTGGTGATGTTGTTCTATTAACATACTTTTATGCAAAATACTGTTCAAACTGGCAGTGTGCCAAACTCATTGTATGACCATAAGTATCGTGGTGTACCGATATTTCGGCGAATTATTACAGTTTGGAGGTAGCTTGTATGTGTTATATTGAAATTTAAGGAATGTAATTAATACTTAACCCATGAAGATCGGGATAGAATAGGTCTTCAGGAACCCATTACGCCATAAGAGGTGACTAACAGGATTGGGTGGTCAGACTCCCTGACTTGGTTGATGCATGTCATCATATCCCAATTGCGTAGATTGATGCTCATGATGTCAATCACTGGATTGTCTGGTCCAGACTCCATTATTTACAGTCCGCCGTCATATAGCTGGAATATTGCTGAGTGTGGTGTTAAACAACAAACAAACAAACATTAAAACTTCACTAGAACTATGTGGGTACTACAACGGATGGTCTGTTGGTAGTTTGTATCACATCAAGTGTTTCCATCGCAGATAAAATGGATGTGTAAAAGCTGTTATGTTTCTGGTGCTAAGTTTGTGGAATTGTAACAGAGCTTCTAGTTCAAAGTATCTGGGATATAAATGGGCAGTGGCCTAGTGGTTAAATCATTTCTTGTCATGCCAAAGGTCCTGGTTCAATTCCCCACTTGGGTACCATGTGTAAAACCCATCTCTGATGTTCCATGCTGTGATAGTGCTGGAAGATTGATAAAAGTGACATAAAACCCATCTCACTCACTCCCTCCCTCAGATATACATGTTATCTCGATCTCCATTACAGTGCAATCCCTTAAAGGAAGCCAGTGACTGATGCCAAAAGGCAGGCAGACCTACAGTTACACATGACCTAAGTATGTCACAGTGCAAATCCTTTTTTTCACCCAAGGCCAGTGTTAAGACGACCAGTACAAAGTCTTGATTGGATATATCCCCCCTAAATAAGCCAAGTAATTTGAATAAACACTCAATTAATGTTTTTCATAGTATCTCATCTTGGGATTAGAACAACCTGTTCGTCTCAAGAGGCAAGTCAGACTCGTTGACCTGGTGGATAGCATGGCAACATACCTCTGACACCTAGGCATGCTACTCATTATATCAATCACTGGTGAAGATCCAGGGTAGAATAGGTCTTCAGCAACCCATGCTTGCCGTAAAAGGCGACTATGCTTGTCGCAAGAGGCGACTAACGGGATCGGGTGGTCAGGCTCGCTGACTTGGTTGATGCATGTCATCGATCCCAATTGCATGGATCGATGCTTATGATTTTAATCACTGGATTGTCTGGTCCAGACTCGATTATTTACAGACCGCCATCATATAGCTTGAATATTGCTGAGTGCGGCGTAAAACAACCAACCAACCAACCAATGAATCACTTGTTCGTCTAGTCCAGATTTGATTATATTTACAAGATGCCATCTTAATTGGAATAGTGCTGAGTGAGCAATAAATAACAAACAAACAAATTTATATTTGTATCAATTAGGCAGGTAATTGAATTATAGCTATTGGTAAGAATAATTCAGCATCACTGTGGTTCATGTATATTGGCTTTGTGTAATAATGAACAATAACAGCTGATGTATATCACTAAGAAACAGCTCCTCTTTGTACAGACTACTCCCTGATATCCAAATATATACTAAGATTTACATCATATATATATATTTTATATGTGCATGTCACTTGACCTATAATATTGACTCCCACTGGACAGATTCCTGTACAACGCTGTATAAAACATGGGCGACGTTTAATGTATTGGTTAGCCACCTAACTCACCTTTTTGTATTTACCTACTTTTTCATATATATTATTAGCTGTAAATTATAACTGATTCTTCTCAGTGGAAAGATATAAATATATTAATTATATGCTGCCTGTATAAAATTAAGAAACTTTGTCACCAACCTTTTTGTTCTATTCACGTTTATGGAACGCAAACGGCAAAAGAAACGTCGCCGTGGATAGATATATGAGAAACCTTATTTGTCCAAACACTGTAAACATACTTTGAGACATATTAAAAAGATGAAACTGATCATCAAGGTTGAAATTAAGTGTCAAATGTTCTTAAAGTGAAACACAACACTAGTCTCTGAGAAAATAGCATCACAAGTTATTATCTCGAGTGACGGCCATGTGTATTGATGACTGCCGTGCAACGTCGATACATGGAATGGATGAGGCGGTTGATGAAGGCCATAGCCACTTGAGCCCACAACGCCTGACGCAGTACAGCTGCAGTTGTCGGCCTTGGTCAGACGTCATTCAGCCATCTTTGAATCTTCTCCCACAGGTGCTCAATGGGATTTAAATCAGGACTGAGGGCAGGCCACTGCATGGTTCTGATGCCAGTCTGCTGGAGGAAGTCTCTTGTTGCTCTCACAGTGTGGGCACGGGCGTTATCATGCTAAAACTCGTTGCTGCGGCGGCGCGCCAAATTAGGTATGGCTTCTTGTCTCAACTGCCCACACCATTGCCTTTCCTTGGACCGATGTTCTGGAAGACCACAGGGCCGACCCTCTGTGCAAGACCAATTCCACCCCCCACCATGATGCTCGGACCACCCCATGAGTCTCCCTCAACAACACAAGCACCCGAATACCGTTCCCCACAGACTCTCTGCCATCTGCTGTTGAGATACAGTTACGGCTCTCGACTGAGAAGAGGACTCTTCTCCACTGCTGGTGGGGCCAATGCTGGTGCTGTGTTGCCCACTGAAGACAGTCCCGGCAATGACATGGTGTCAGAATGATTCCCTGGTGTGGCCTGTGACAGTGGAGGTGTCTGTCATCAATCGTCGACTCACGGTGTTCGCATTAATGAGTCACTGGTGTGTCCCCATGGTCTGTCGAGCAGTTTCTGCGGCAGTAACAAAGTGATCTTGAAGATGCTGTCACACAAACTGACGATCCTTACGTCGGGTGGTGACCCTGGGTCTACCACTATGTGGTCGGTCATCTGTAGTGTTTGTGGTCTGGTACCATTTCTGGAGCCTGTGTATGGTCCTTACGTGGACTTGATATGCATGGGCTACTTGCCAGGCGGTTTATCCAGCTTGCAATCGTCCAAGGGCTTGGTGTAGCTGATTTCTTCTCAATCTTGGCATGTGGTAGTAATTCAATAACGAATAAATTTTATCCGATCTGGGTGGATTTTTATAGGGCAAGAAACGGGGGAACTCATGTGCATTTCAATTTGCACGGAAATCACGTTACCATGGCTGTTGCCTTGATGCGTTTGGGCGATCAGTTTTATTGTCCTATGCTTTGTTTCATCAAATTTCATTTTTCCGGACAAGGTTATGTTAAATTTAAGAAACTTTGACAAAAATTACCCAGATATTTAAATGACAACTTTTCATTCAATGTTACTTGGGGTGACGTTTCTTTTGCAGTTCAGTATATTATCAAACATGGGGGAAAGTTCTGATTAAAATAATGGATTTGTATCCCTTCTGCTTTTATTACCCCTCTCTCTATGTATGTCCGTGTATATTGAGAGGCGTGTAAAGTGTCACAAACTTGACAAAAAAATAAGTTTTGAATTTGTTTCTTTTTTTATATATTTTGTACA